CACCCACCCAGCACAGCCTGGCCCGGTCAGTCAGTGACTTGCCACCAGCAACTATGGGCACTGGCTCCTTGGACTGGTCTGTCCCTCCTCTGCTGTCCCCAAGCCCCTGCATGCCTTCTCCACAGCAGTATCCACAGCTGACTGGATGGAGTTCTCACTTTCTCAGCTTCCTGAGGTCAAGACTGGCCTGTGTTTGTGCACCATCGTGTCACCGCAAGGGCTGGCACCACCTTGGCCGTCAGATGTTGGTTACATGAGTGACTTACACACATGAGGTCCTGTGCCAGGCATAGATGTTGGTGGGAGAGATGGCCAAGTAAAAAAACAGTGACAAAGAGGGTGACTAGTGCCATGATGGGGACGCACCGGGGCCAGGGAGCACCAAGGAGGACCCCACTGGAGTACCAGCAGGACAATGAGGAATTCACAGTGGGGAGAACTCTGAAACTGGGAGCAGCAGTGGGGAGGATTCTGAAACTGATGTGGGGAGGGTCTGTCTCCTTCAGCCCCCACCCCGTCCACCACCCTCCTGCTCCTTGAGGGCAAGGCCTGGGTTCCACCCTCTGATCTCTACACGGCACTGGGAGTGTTGGGTCTCTGCCCTGCATTCAGAAAGCAGTTTTCATTGATTGATTTCATTTCCCTTCTTGGAATATGGCTGGTCTGACACATGCCTCATTGCAGTGCTGTGTCTTCTTCTCTTGGCCCTACTTTCAGGACTTTGCCCAGAAAAACTTCATCTTTTCCCACCTGGGGTGCACTCTCCCCCTCCCGGCTTCACCGCGGTTCTGTGTCCCTTACCCAGCTCTGGCCGTCTCAGTGCGTGGGTGCCAGCCTGCACCCTCTTTACATGAGGTTTGTTGATTTCATAACCATAAATAGATGAAATGTTCTGAATGCTTCCATGTGCAAGGAGAATTGAGGGAGTGATCGCAGAATGAAAAGGCCTTAGGAGAAAGCAAACAGCCTGTTAAAATGCGGCAAAAGACAACACAGCTTCGCACAGACCAGCTCTACGTGGGGGTTCTATTTTCACTGCACAGACTGTGGAGCCATAGACACAGAACTGGGAAGTACTTGGGAATGTTAGAAAACCTTTATGTGGTTTTAAACCCATCCATTCAAAAGAACAACCTAGTAAAAAAAAAAAATACAAAGAAGTAGAAGTCGGGAAACGTGGATCCTAATTCTGAATTTATCTTATTCTAGCTGTGTGACTCTGGGCAAGTTACTCAGCCTCTCTGAGAAGATACATAGAGATTCTTCCTCTGGGTTAGACTAGAGACTTCAGGAGCCCTGAGGTGCCACAATGCCTTCATTTTCTTTCCACAAGGAAATGTCGCTCTGACAGTGCTTTCATCACCAACCGTGGCACTTCATTCTTCCCTAAATGCATTCCTAGCTTGGTGTGATAGCTCGTACTTGGAATTCCAGCACTTTGGGAGACCAAGGAAGGAGGATTGCTTGAGCCCAGGGGTTTGAGACCAGCCTGGGTAACATAGCAAGACCTTGTGTCTACAAAAAAAAAAATCCGTCAGGCATGGTGGCACACCTGTAGGCTCAGCTACTCAGGAGGCTGAGGCAGGATCATCTGAGCTCAGGACATCAAGGCTGTGGTGGGCCATAATCATGCCACTGCACTCCAGCATGGGTGACAGAGTGGGACCCTGACTCAAAAAAAGTGCAGTCCTGAGGACTACAAGGGGATAGGGATGGAATAGAGGACCCTGCCCCTTCATGGCCAGTTTCAACTCCTGTTGCTGTGGGAACAGCATCACTCCTAAAAGGGGAGGTCACATCTACACAGCCACAGAGGGAGTAGAGACTAGCAAGGAGCATGGACCACAGGGCTCCCCATCTCTCCTTCCTTGTGGTCTCCAGGATCCCAGCTGCTCCATGGCATTTGGAATAGGAAAGGGAGATGAAATAATATTAATATCTTGGTATGTCCTGGGCCAGGAGAGCTTCCTGGGTGAGAGAGAGAGAAAAGCAAGTAGAGATATTTCTAGTGTGAACTCACCCTCTATTCTAAGGCTGAAAAACCTTTTCTGTTAAGGGTCAGTTAGTCAATATTTTAGGCTTTCGAGCCTTATGGTCTCTGCCACAACTACTCAACACTGCCATTGTGGCGTGAAAACAGTCCTAGGCAATAAGTAAATGAATGGTTGTGTCTGGGTTCCAATAAAACTTTATTTACAAAAAGAGGCAGCAGGCCGGATTTGGCATGCAGGCTGTTGTTTGTAGATCTTTGCCCTACCCCATGGTGCAAGAGAATAAGCCCGAATTGGGAGGCAGGAGGTAGGGTTAAGTTTCAGTATTACCAGTAACTTGTTGTGTGTTTTTGATTAAGTCATTGTCCATCTCTGAGCCCTAGTTTCACTGTCTATCAAATGAGCATGATAGTATTAGCCAGACTTGTCATGAGAATATGTCTAACAGGTCAGAGCAAACCTGAAGTCTTTTCATTTCTCTACTCCAACACTTTGAGTGAAGATTGCCCCACCGCCCACCCCACTTCCACCTGGCCATGCCCTTGCCTGCTGAGGGTGGCAGCAGCCTGCCAGAAGGGGAGGTGTCTCTCTCCAGAGTCAGATTCTTGGTCTGACTTTCTAAGTTCCAGCCCTAAGTGACCCCATTTCTTGTAGCAAGCCAGGCACAGGATGAAATGGGGAATCCCTTCCACCATCCAGCCATTTGGCAGGAGGCTACAGTTCACTTGAGAGAGTGACGTGGCTGGTGGCCAGGCTTTGGAGGAAGACTTTGAGACTCAGACTGGGACTCGAGTAGGAAAGGTGGGCTTCAGGGCTCCTCTAGAACGTTCATCTGTGGCTGACAGTTAAGGAGCCCCAGCTGTGGTTTCGTGACTTGCAGCAGCACCAGTTGCCTCAATGGACCCTTATGCTATCTGGCCAACCTGACTGGTCTGACCACTGCTGAGAGTTTTCATCCCTTGTCATCTTCTCTGAAACCCCATCGAGTGATACATTCATTCCTATTCTCGCTCTCTCTTTCTTTTCTTTTCTCCCTCTTTTTCTTTCTCATAGACACATTTGTCCAGGGCAGAACAAGATACACTTTGACAGCCCTCTGTCAAGAGCCTTGCTCCAAATCTCCAGAAAAGCAGCCAGGAGTCTCCATACTGTTCCGAAGAAGCAGATTTCTCACCCACTCTCCAACTCCTTCCCAGGAGATCATCCTCCTCAAAATCTCTGGAAAAGAGACACCTCCTTTTCCCTGATAGAGGCTGAGGGGTGATGCCCCCCCCTTAGCTCCCCAATAAAGCTATGCAAGACAGAGGCGAGGGATCTCACGGACTGTTCTTGCTATAAAAACCCCTTTTTCGGAAAAAATAATAAAGAAAAGAACCAGCCAATCCCTCCTCAATGCCATCACCTCTTCTTGGTGATTTTTCGGGGAAGGAGTGGGCGGGTTGCCATGGCAACAGATGCGGAGTTCGTCTCAGTAAAGAAGGGACCTTGATTTTTTTTCTCTCTCATTCTCTCAGTTGTGTGTGTGCGTGCATGTGTGTGTGTGTGTGTGTGCGCGCGCGCGTGTGTGTGTAGCCATGTGCGCGCTATGCATGCCTGTGCCCACACCAGGAATTTTTTTTAAGAACTAAAGAAAGCCCTTCTCTCAGCTCCCCAAATATGGAGCTATGGAAAGCCACTTACTCTTGCAGGCCAGGGAAGATTCAGGATGAATCAAAAGGAAAGGGAGAGGTCATGTGGGGCTCCTCTCCTCCATATTTTTACTAGAGATTGCAGGCAACAGAGAGACTTTTGCAAATTGTTGGGGACCAAGGGCTGGAAAGAGGGAAGGATGCCAAGGGGAGAGAGTTGAGCCAGGCATAGGTGGTGCAAAAGCCCAACAGGTGACATCAGAGAGGGCAACAAAAGGGACACTGAGTCTGGGAAGCATGCACATCCATACACACCATCAGACGCCAAGAGAGAAAGGCCCAGGGAAGACACATATGGATACATGCACAGATGCCAACAGATAGGCACGCAGAAGGTTAATGTAGGCACAAATACCTACAGGCACAAACATACAACTACACACAACACAGGATGCTGGGAACTTGGAAACAAAAGACAAACATAGAGGCATAGATATACAGGGGAAGAGACTCACAGCTACAAAGTCACATGCAGACAGATACACGGATATAGATATACAAGCACATTCAGACAGAATCAGTGCAGACACAGAGGGACATACATAGTCACAGTCAAATGAAAACACACACACACACACACACACACACACACACACACACATACACACACACACAGCTTAGCCCCCCTCCTGCAATCGCCCAAGCATCCCCGAGCAGGAGCACATAGCTGGGGAAGCTCTATGCTCACCCAGGAGCTTTGGCTGGAAGTCTTCTGACCCCCAACTCCTGCACACTTCACCCCAAAGCCCCTCTCCCCATTTGCTTCCTTGCCCACCTTCCCAGACCCAACAGGCTCTGATGCCTCCCCCATCTCAGCTTCTAATTCTTAGCCAGCTCTGCTGCTGCTGCCTGCCACTTGGGGGAGAGAGTGGGGTGACTCAGCCAGGCCAGGATGACTCACACTGCCAGTATTTTTAGCAGCGGCCAGGAGCTCTCTAGCGTGCCAGCCGCCCCCCTCCTCCTGCTTGCTATTTCGGAACCGTCACTGGTGATATAAATAGCTCCTCTCCCACGGCCTGAAGCTGCTGCCAAGCTATTTTTGGTCCTGCACAGTTAAAAATAGCTTCACGGAGGTGGGAAGCAGGGGGAGTGGGATCTGGCCTAGGGAGAGGAGACATCGGGGCACGCAGAGCTTCTCAACTTGAATGAGAGTGGGCGAACTAGGATGGGCCCTTCTCTACTCCCCTCCTTGTCACTTTCTAGACCCTTCTTCCCTTCCAAAATGCTTCTCCCTACTCTATTCTCCTGGAAAAATCCAGGGCCTCCTCCCTTGGGCCCAGTTTTCCTCCCTTGCTTGCTTCGCTTCTAAAGCCCAGTAATCTGGCCCCCCTGCAACTTCCCCCCAATATTCATCCTCAGAGAAGGAGGAGACAGCCAAAGGGGGCCTTCCCCTGAGGTCTGTGGACACCCAAGCCCTACTTTGCTGTCCCAGGCAAACCATTGCCAATCAGACTTCCATTGGGGATTCTTTCAGGACCAAGGACAGCGACCACTGTCCCAGTCTTTCGCTGCGGATCTGCTCAGATTGCAGGAGACCCCTGAACCTGGATAATAGACATTACTGTTGAGTGTCCCTTACTGTGGAGAGGGACACTGAAAATGTCTCCCACATGGGGGCCTAAAGCATCACTGGGTGAAGAAAACAGAAACACTGCCCTGGATTGTCATGTGGGAAGGGGAAACAAAGATCAAGGACTTACTCAAATGGAAGCTTGAAGGAGGAGAGGGTGGGTACATCAGAGGTCAGAGAGAGAGAGAGAGAGAGAGAGATGAAAGAGGTAACAGAGACCTGTGTCCTGAAGGAACCATCTCTCTGTCATCCAGGTCAATAGGGTTAGAGACAGTGGTATACACACACACACACACACACACACACACACACACACACACACACATGCACGCACACCATTCCCTCCATCTCTGCAGTGATTCTGACCACAGAATAGTTCATATGGATGGCCCCAACCTCTTCCAAAATGGCACAAGATGTCAGGATGGGATCTCCAGTCTTGTATCCCTCTCCTAAGATCCCTTTCTCCTCGGTTTCCTTTCTGTCTCTCTTGTTACCACCCCTCTTGCATAAGGTGTGGGGAGTTCCCTGACTCAAACTTCTCTTCTTGGTGTCAAAATTCACCTCTGCCCTTCCTGTGTGACTTTATTTTCTACAGTCAAGCCAATCTCCCTCCCTCAATTATAAGTGGCTTCATTTCCAAGTGATTTCACATACACCCCTAACTTCATCAAATGAGATTTCAGATAAAGATATTCCCCTAGCCGACCTCCTCCTTCCATTCTGGGATCCTGGGGGTCAGGATGGCACCTCCTGGACCCCGCTGGTGAAAAGAGAAAGAAGAAAAGGGAGATAGGGCAAAGGGGATAGGATGTGGCAACAACCCTGAGAAAGAGAAGAAATGAGGACAGACCCGATAGGACAGAAGGGGGACCTTTGGGGGCCAGGGGGCGCACACAGCTGAGACAGTTTACGAAGCACGCAGTGAGCTAAAGAAACGGGAGGGGGAAGTGGAGAGTGGGAAATGGAGAGACAGAGCGAGGAGCCCTCGCGCCAAAGATGGGGTGGAGGTCTGAGGGAGGTGTGGGGGAGAGCCTGAGGAAGTTAAAGGGTCCTTGGTAGGTGCAGGGGTCCCGGAGGGCCCAGCACGGCCCCCCCTCGCTTCTCTGCTGCTTCCCCATCTTCTCTGCCTAGGCAGGGCGGGGAGCCCTCCGGAGCGGTGCGGAGGCAGCCAGGCCCCGCCCGCCGCCACCGCCGCCGCCGCCGCGGCAGCCGCCGGAGGATTCCTGTCCTAATATGGAGCTGGGATTCCCCCGGCCCCGCCCCCGCCCCCGGCCCGCGGGGAGACAGGCTTGCAGTAGGGCGGGGGGAACCGCTCGTTTTGGGGGCTGGCAACGGGGTAGGGGGGAAGGGAGGCCTGAGCGCAGACCCAGATGCTCACGGTGCCCTGGGTCCCTGCCTCAGTTTCCCTTGCCAGTGGCTAAGGTTAATTAGTTGACAGACGAAGAATCACTGCAGACTACAGCGTTGGTGCTGGTGTTTGTATTCTTGGCCGTGGGAAAATAGAGCCAGCGCCAGGTTCAGGAGGTCCCTTTCCCACCGGACTTCCTTTCCACCCCACCCTAGGACTTGGACCCCCATGCAACACCCCCTGATAAATCGCCAAAGGCCCGGGTTTGCGAAGGAAGGAGGGGGTTTGTTCTTTGTGAATGGCCAGGGGAATTCCGGACTGGGTAGTGCCCAAAGAGGAACCCCAGCTATGACCTATCCCACAGAGGCCAAAGAAAGTCCTTCTTCCCTGCAAATGAACGTGACCTTGTCTGACAAATGACCGGGGAATTTGCTCAGATGACCCTGCTCCTCCCCATTCCCCTGTCTCCTCAGAAAATCAGTGTAAGTACCAGCTCCTCTCTGCCCTTTACAGACTCCTGCCAGGGGCTTCAGACACCCTAACCCTTGCCCTGTGTCTTGCCCTCAACTGCACACACTCGGGCGCCTGGGTCCCTGCACCCCTAACGCAGCGCCTGCCTCTCCTCAGCTCCCGCCAGCCTCGGCCCCCTCCGCAGCTTCCCTTCTCCCCCATCCCCCGGTCCCCTCCCGCTCCCATTCTACGTCATGGGATGACGTCGGAAGCCAGAGAGGGAGGAGGAGCGCCCCCCCTCCCCAGCCAGCGACTCCCGCTGCAGCTTGTTTAGCCCAGCCTCCCGCTTTCCCGCCCCCCCGTCTCCAAAACGAGCCCCCCACGCCCGGCAGGAGCTATATAAGGCGGAACCAGGCAGGCGAGGGGGGCAGCGCAGCCAAGCGGAGCCCAGGAGAGGAGAGAGAGAGAGAGCCTGAGCGAGAGACGGGGAAGCGAGGAGGAGGAAGCCGCCGGTGCGTCGGGACAGGAACGCAGGTGTTCGGGGCGCCCGAGCTGGAGCTCCGCAGCCGCCAGCCATGTACCGCTCCACCAAGGGCGCCTCCAAGGCGCGCCGCGACCAGATCAACGCTGAGATCCGGAACCTCAAGGAGCTGCTGCCGCTGGCAGAGGCAGACAAGGTCCGGCTGTCCTATCTGCACATCATGAGCCTTGCCTGCATCTACACTCGCAAAGGAGTCTTCTTCGCTGGAGGTGAGCATGCTGGGGCTGCCGGAGACCCAAGCTTGCGGCCGCCGGGGACAGCGGGGCGGCGGGAACCCGCTGGGACTGCCGCATGTCCTAGGGCAGCGTGTTGGCGAGCTGGGAGAGCGTGGAGGATTCAGGACTTCCTACTTTTCCTCCTGAGCTCTATCCAGACCTCGCCTTAGTTCTGGATGAGGGATAGAGAGGTGGGATGATGTCCCCAGCACCAGATTGATGAGAGGAGAAGAGCCAGGACAGAATGCCTCGGTCCCCACCAGTGCCGAGGCGCTTCGGGAGCCCGGGGAGGGAAGCCCGGGAAGTCGCGTAGATGGAACCGCCAGAGCCCAAGGAAGCGAGCCGCTGTCCGCGGTGCTGAACGGGCTCCCGCCGGCTCCGGAGCGCTGTCCGCGGTGCCCACGGCAGCCTCTGCTGTGCGGGAGCTGTCCGCGGTGCTGAACGCAGCCCGCTGGGGGGGAGCTCTGTCCGAGGTCCTGAAAGCGAGGGCCGCTGAGGCGCCGTCTCTGACTTGGAAGTCCTAGGGCTCCCTATCTGTAGAGATCCAGCAACAGGTTCCCTGGCCAAGAGCTGCGGGCAGCGG